TCTCAAAAATAAATAAAAAAACGTTAAAAAATTAAAAAAAAAAAGATACAAAGTATGGCACATAGTGGTAAGTACTATGGCAAAAAAATCAATCAGCAAGGAGAAGAAGGTGTGCCAGAAGGTAGGGTGAGGGGATTGGTCATGCAATTTTAACGTTTATTTATTTTTGGGACAGAGAGAGACAGAGCATGAACAGGGGAGGGTCAGAGAGAGAGAGGGAGACACAGAATCTGAAACAGGCTCCAGGCTCTGAGCTGTCAGTACAGAGCCCGACGTGGGGCTTGAACTCACGAACCGCGAGATCATGACCTGAGCCGAAGTCGAACGTTTAACCGACTGAGCCACCCAGGCGCCCCTGGTCATGCAATTTTAAATAAGGTCATAAGGTGATATAAAATGAGAGGTTGAGCCATGTGGCTCTCTGAGGAAAGAGTGTTCCAAGTAGACGGAACAGCCAGTGCAAAGGCCCTGAGGTAGAAGTGAGCCTGGCATGATGAAGGAACAGCAAGTGGTCAAGTGGCAGAATCAAAGGAGTGAGGGGAAGATTAATAGGAGATCAGAGCTGTAACAGGAGTTCATTTCATGCATGGCCTTGGAGGTGAGTGTGGGGGACTTGGCTTTGACTCCAGGTGTGATGGAAAGTCATTGGAAGGTTCGAACTAGGGAACAATAAGGGCTAATTTTGGTTTTAACATGACTCTTCCAGTTTTTCTGTTAAGCAGACACTCGAGGGACACCTGGCTGGCTCAGTCAGCGGAGCGTGTGACTCTTGATCTCGGGGCTGTGGGTTCGAGCCCCATGTCAGGTGTAGAGATTCCTTAAATCCTTTGGGGAGAAAAAAAAAGAGAAGATACTCAAAGGGGGCCAAGGGTAAAATAAAGGAGAAACATTAGGAAAAAAAAAAACCTACGAACTCTGTTTAACCACGTTTTTCTTTCAGGCTAAGTATGTGATTAGTGCTATTCCTCCTATTCTGGGCATGAAGATCCATTTCAATCCCCCTCTGCCCATGATGAGAAACCAGCTGATCACTCGTGTGCCTTTGGGATCAGTCATCAAATGCATAGTTTATTATAAAGAGCCCTTCTGGAGGAAAAAGGGTGAGTATTATCAGGAGAAGGTCCGGGAAACTTGGTGCAAAGACATGTATTTGCATGTAACTGGTTTTATTAGAATGCTGGGTATAAAACATTAGTCCAGGTTCTGAGTACAATTCTATCAAATAAAACATATTGGCGCAAACTCATGGAATTCACGTCCCTTGGAATCTGACTCTTCTTATAATTTAATATGTAAAGTTTTGCTTTATCCTGCCACAGAATCTTGTGAAAATAGTTATTACTGGGGCACCTGGGTGGCTCAGTCAGTTGAGTGTCTGACTTTCGATTTCAGCTCAAGTCATGATCCCAGGGTCATGGGATCGAGCCCCGCATCAGGCTCCATACTGATCGTGGAGCCTGCTTGGGATTCTCACTCTCCCTCTGCCACCTCTCCCCCATGCCCTCTGTCTCTCTAAAATAAAAAAGAAAAGAAAAGAAGTAGTTATTACTTTCTAATACAGTTTTTTAAAGTATGAGTGTATAGAGTCATTCACCAAAATAAGATTCTGAAAATTTCCAGGCAGCCTCTCACTTGTGTTGAGATTCTACTATATTAAATTAAGGCAATTTGAGCGTCTGACTTGGCTCAGGCCATGATCTCGTGGTTCGTGAGATCGAGCCCCACATCGGGCTCTGCCCTGACAGCAGGGAGCCTGCTTGAGATTCTGTCTGCCTCTCTCTCTGCCCCTCCTTCATTCACGTTCTCCCCTCCTCTGTCTCAAAATAAATAAACATTCTTTAAAAATAAAAAATTACAGAAGTGAATCTGTAAAACTTAAAAGTAAAATTTACAAAAACAATAAAAATGTCCCTCTCCTATGGTATGTGTCCTGGCATATCCTCCCGTAAGGAACAACTCCTAAAACTTTAAGTTGTTTATCTTTAGAAATGTAGCATATGCACAGGTAATACTTAAATTTTTTTTAATGTTTATTTTTGAGAGAGAGGACACAGAGTGTGAGCAGCGGAGGGGTAGAGAGAGAGGGAGACACAGAATCCGAAGCAGGC